GGTTGTGGGCTAGGTCCCCAGTTATGGGTACTCGAAAGGCAACCACACATTGATGTTTCTCTCCCTCTTTCTCCATCCCTTCCCCTCTTTAAAAATAAATAAATAAAATATTTTTTAAAATGACCTCAATAAACAGCAAAAAAAAAAAATTAATTTAAAAAAGTTGTGGTACAGTTATACAATGGAATACTACCCAGCCATAAAAAGAGTGGAATCTTACCATTTGAAACAGCATGGATGGACATAGAGTATATTATGCTATGTGAAATAATTCAGACAGAGAATGACAAATACCATAGATTTCACTTATGTGTGTAATCCAAAGAACAAAATAAATGAACAAACAAAACAGAAACAGACTCACAGATATAGAGGACAAACTGATGTTTGCTAGAGGGTAGGGTGTTGGTGGGTTGGGATGAAAGAGGTGAAGGGATTAAGAATTACAAATTGGCTGTTACAAAATAGTGACGGGAATGTAAAGTATAATATACAAAATATAGTTAATATTGTAATAAGGATGTATGGTGCCATGTGTGTACTTGAAAAATCGGGAGGATCATTTTGGTTAACAATATGATTATCTAACCACTATGCTGTATACCTGAAATTAATACAAGATAATATTGAATGTCAACTGTAATTGAAAAATAAAATTTTAGAAAAGTAAAAATAAATACAAGTGTAAATGTGTGGATATATACTCATATTTCTACATATTTTGCAATTCATAACTATAAGATTTTCCTCATGATTTCAAGTTATCTCGCAGGTAGCTTAATAAAATGGAAATGTAGAAGGGAATTTTCTTTCTCATCTTAATATACGAAAACTGCACCAGAGGCATAAATGACATAAATGTAGAGAGTTCAATTATTTCTTTTATAACCCCTTATGAATGGTAGTTATTCCATTTGGTTTATGAACTATTTGCTTCTTTTATGCAAGGGTGAAGTTTGGATAAAAGAAATGAGCATAGACTTTTGCTTAAGAAGGGTGGTGTGGAGTCCAGGAAGTACAGATTTTCTGAGTTTCTATTTGAGTATTATCTCAACATTACCCAATGATGATGGTGATGTAGATAATGACAACACTGATTATGACCAAAAAGCTAACATTCTCTGAAGGCCAGGGATTTCATATAGTTCTCTATGTTTACTTCACACAGCAGTCTTTGGGATTATATTGGGTTATAATCATTTTACACATGAAAGAACCAATCTGGCCTCACACTTCTTATAAGCAGAGAATCCAATTCTGGTCAGTGCTTCACAATTATACTAGGTCCACTCTTTCAGATGATAAATTTCCAGGACTTGGCGACTGATTGTTATAAAACTTCACAGTCTGAGTCCTGTACTCAACAGGAGTCCATTAAGTATTCACTCAATACCATACCATAATGATGATGATAATGATGATGATAATGATGCTGATGACAGCAATGATGGTGCTGGACAGGAAATTTTCTCTTTGATCTAAGAATTGTGTTTGGGGACCCTATGAATGGACTTGTATCCAAGATAGCAGGTGTCTTCCAAGAAAGAAGATAAGTGATTTATTCAAAGTCATATATTGTAAAAAGAATAGTCCAGATTGGAATTCAAATTTATCTGGCTCTAAGGCCATGTACTTAACCACGTTGCTTTCCTAACCCTAAAATTTGAATTTCATCTTTATGTTATTAGCCAACCAGTCCTTTAGGATGTCAGAAAAAGTGGTAATGATTCCTCAGATGACAGGCCTAAAGAGCAGGGATCATAATGGCATTGCTTCTTCCATTATCAATGCCTTCAAAAGTGCCTTCATACCAATTCATAGCTTGACTCCCCTGGCCCCAAGTTGTAGGCTGGACCTACAGTGTGTAGGGTTGTTCACGCAGAAGGAAGCATCCCTTTTCTCTTGAGCAGAAGAGCTACGTGATTTTCAAGATCCCTTTACCTGGGGTCTCCTCTGCCTCTGGGCCTGGGCTGATGCAGACATCATAAGCACTTCACCAGGCACACACACACAGCTAAAGTCACCACAGAACCACCCAAACAGACCAGGGAACATACAATGCACTTCTGGAAGTATGAACAAGTGAACAGGTAGGAGAGGGATAGGGAGGTCTTGTTTGAGCTCCATCTTCATTTTCACCCAAATTGTTTTGGAAGATAGTTCACTGTACTCTTAGAGAAGGGCTAGCCCCTTCTGCTTTAACTCCAAATTGCCTGGTCAGGCCCAGTTCAGACAACTGCTTGGCCAAAGACTGTCTCAACCAATGTTTCTAGTTAGAAATCTTAGGGATTTTAGCTCCTCCCCTACAAAAAGATAAAAGTTTACCAAAAGATAAAAAGAAAAGGTGGGAAAGGCAAAGTGTTCTGACTTATAATGGGGACAGTTGTCCTCCAGGTAAGTGTGTCGAAGACAGCCCACCATCAGCCCAAGACGGTTTGGTGCCTGCTGCAGGCTGGAGCAAAGAAACCAATGTCAGACCCCACTGGAGAGGAGTGTGATTTGGATGAGTCCTTCTACATCCTGTCCTACCTAGCCCCACACCTCAGAGCACCAGAGGGATGGATTCATCCTGTCTGTAAAATTGTCACAGTGAGCCCCTAGACCCTCATCTTATTTCTGCCAGAATCCAGCCAGACCAACAACCATCAGTCTGCTATAACTTTGAAGACTGGTCTGGAGACTTGAAGATCCCCACAAATGGCATCACAACAGTAAAAAAAAGGGGGGCACAGGGCTGTTTCATCGTTTTGTGAGCTTATCACAAAAAAAGAGAACTTTGATGTATTTTACTGACATTGGAAAAGGTGAATGCATAGCCAAATGTGGTGTAATGTCCAAAAAAAAAAAAAAAGCATCTCATGAGGGGGAATCCCCAAAACACCATAATTATCTTCCGGAGGGCTGGCCCCTTGTAGTAGAAGTTTCCCCCACTAGATGAGTGTTCTAGGAACCCATCTGTATCAGTGTAGCAGCTGGCATTCTTGTAACAGGCTGTTTGGCTTCAGTGAATTTTTTTTGTAGACTCAAGGTGTTTGGCCATTTCATGATGGGTGATTTATGAGCACACCTACCCACAATGCACTGAGTGTTCAGCAGTTGTTGACCAAACACAGATTGACTCCCATGCCCCACATTCCCTATTCACCTGATCTCGCCCTAAGCAACTTTTTTTTTATTTGTTTCCCAGATGAAAAAAATCCTCAAAGGGAAATGTTTTTGCCAATATGGAAGAGATGAAACAAAAAATGGCAGAGGCACTAAAAGGTATCAATATTGACTAGTTCAAAAACTGTTTTGAGCAGTGGAAAAAAAATGTCAATAGGTATATTGCATCAAATGGAGAGTACTTTGAAGGTGACTGAAGTTTAAATATATAAGAATAAATACACAATATTTTATAAATAAATCCTAGGTTTATGAGGGGTCCCCCCTCATTTATTCCATTCCTTCCCTTGGCTTTTTATCTTGTTTTTCTTTAATAAAGGCAATCATACATTTTTGTATAAATCTATTAATCTTTTAAAAAAATTTTATACTTAAATGCTGTTATAGAATTTTGCTTCATGAATTTCAATAAACATTCACCAATATTTTGTTCTAATTATATTATGGCTTGTATTTGTAATACTGGAATGCATTGTGTACCATAATCACTTGGAGGAAATTGTGAACTGTTATTTCTACAGTCCACCTTTAGTCAGTGGATAGGCGAGCAAATCAGTATTTTAAAGATGTTCCCCAGCTGATTCTGATGCAGGTGGTTATGAAAGACTGATAAAACTTTTGGAATGCCACAAAACATTCTCCTTTGAATGTTTCCAAAATTTTCCAAAATTTTGAAATGAAACCAAAAATTTGTCATAGCATTTTGAGACCCATTAAAACAAAGTTTAATAAGAAAAAAATAAATTTGGAGTACAATTCATTGCATGCACTATTTATTTTGCTAATTGTCACAATACTAGAGAAATTTTTTTAAACGATTTTTATAAGATTATAGAGTCAGTAGCAGAATTTGGACAAACCTACTGGTTCTGTTAATAATCAGTCATGAAATCAATTAAATATTAAAACATGATGTGTCAATTAAACACAAGTGTGTGGGGGATATCAGGAGGAAAAGAGTCTGTTTGATCTGTAGGGGAAGCATAATTCCTAACATTTACATAATAGCCATTTGACATTAAGTGCATTTATAAAGTTCTTAACTGTCTTTGCAAGTTCTTTTTTCACATTTCATCTGGGGATAGGATGGGGAAAAAGACTATTCTTTTAGATTGGTTTCCTGTATTGTTTTGTGCAATTTATGCATAGTCTGAGTATTCTGAACCAGTTAGGCAGGCCCACTAGGAGCCTTCAGGGACAGATTATCTCATGTGAGAAGACAGAATCTTAGTCCTTAGACCTAGGGCAGCAACTTGGACTACAGCATTTTGCACTCAAACTTGTAGTGTCCAAATCCCAAAATGGACTCATCGTACTCGACTCCTATAGACAGGAGGGGTTGTGGGAATGGAAACCAAAAGGGGCTGTTAAGAACTGTGCAAGACCGTTGTGACCCAAGCAACCCTGGAACAATTCCTACTTGTGTTAAGTGTCACTGTAAAGCAGAAACTTTAGAAAAGTGAGTAGAGAGTTTAACCCACTGGGGACTCCAAATAACTCGGGGGTTTTGGGTACTCGAGGAATTTAGTGCCCCAGCAGAGAGCAGCAGTGCCCAGCAGACAGAGCAGGACCCAGGGTGGAGCTCAGCAGCAGAGGACTGGCAAGAAAACCCGCTACCTCCACGCCTATTGGACTTATTCCAGAGCACAGGTTGAGTAATGCCAGGGTCCTCCCCCAAATAACTATGTTCTGCAGTGGGTTGGGGTTCTGTTTGCACAGGTGGGAACCAGAGCCCACCAAGCACAGCTTAAAGCTCCCTCCCTTCTTCCCCACAGAAGCTCTGAAGCAAATGTTCTCCCCATGAAAAGACCAGGTCTTAAGCATTGTCTGCAATAATTGCCAGTTTTATTCCTCTGGCTAAGAGATCCAGAAATGATTGGAGGTTTACATTTTAATAGTTATTTCATCAAGGGTTTAGGTGCCCCCACTGCCCTTCTAAGCTGGTTGCAAATTACTTGATTCTCTTATTTAAAAAATTTTAATTGTGACACTTGTTCATTAAAAATTACATATAAGCAGAAAGCAAACTCACACCACACGGAAATAAGCAGTTAAGTTTTTGATGTATGTATGAATGTATATACACACACGCACACACACAATTTGGGATTTTTATCCTACATAATGTGAGCTTATACAAAATATGCTGCTTTGTAACTTGTTACGTTTTATTTTATAATATGGGTTGAACATATTTCCATGCATTTGTGTGAAACTTCCCAACTGAAAAATAGACCTGGAGAATGGGTCAAAATACAAAATCCAGTAAGATGCTGATAACAACGAAACTACTTAAAACAAAATTCCACCAGATGATTAAAGGTAAAACGAAGGTAAAAGATACATTAGGAAATGCTAACAGAAAGAAAGCAGTGGCCAGATTTTACTATCAGATAAAAAAAAATTAGAATTCAAGGCCTAAAGCACACAGGATAAGGACGTCTGCGTGAATGTCTTTGCTTCCAATGCATCATCACAAACTTGTTTCTTACTCTTCTTATTTCTTCCCTAAGCCTTTCCAACTCATCTACTCCTCTTAGCATTTCTTCAGGGTCCAAATGCCTAACGGGACTGTCCTCTTTAAATCCCTGGACAGGTTGAGTCAGCCCGTTTCTAAGGTTTCCTTCTGCTTCCTGGCTTACACCTTCTTCAGAAGATTGAGGATTTCCTTCTGCCTCCTGTGGTACATGTTCTGAAGGGTGGTCTTCCTCAGCCTTTGGCATGTTCTGTGGTTTTCCTTCATTTTCTTCAGAAGACTTTTGCATGTTGATATTTTTCTTATGTCCTTTTCAAATAAATTAACCCTAGAAAATAAGGAAACAAAACAAGTAGATGCCAGGCGAACAGACCAGCAGCCAGAGAATGGGTTCCCAGAGACAATGGTCTTTTCTCATTCAGATCCCAAATCGTCAAGTTTTCTAATTAAAGAAGGCTGGATCTGCAACCTCAGAACTCCTCTAACTCCACCCATTCCTCCACTTCCCTTCCCCCCCTCCTCCCTCCAGCTCCATCTTCTCTCCCTCCAGCTCCAGTCCACCATTTCCCAGCAGGCCCTGCTATGGGGGAAGAAACGCAGCTGCGCGGAAGCAATTAACCCCTCCCTCGCCGCTGGTCTCCAACACTCCCACCTTTTTTTCTAAACCATCCCAAACTCCAGCCTCTCACCTGAGACCGGCTGGTACGGTCTTTAGCCTCCCCTCCCCCTTCCATGCCCCTCCAACCTTACCCCTCCCTCTCGCCTCATTTCCGCCATAGGCTCTGCAAAGACCTCCGGACTTAGTCCGGACGGGGAGAGGTTGCTGCGGCCAATGCGGGATATGCTTTGGTGTCACCCGCACTCCCACCCCAAAGGAACCGAGGCAATTGCGCTCTTACACTAACCTGCAGGGATCCAGGAAATCTTTATCCTTCTTCCCTCACTCGATTTGTGTAGCTCCCCAAAGACCAAGAGTCCTGCAGACCGACAGGAGTGCTTGGTGAGCAGGCCAGTACCCGCATCATGGGTCCCCTTCACGATTTTAGGCCTTGTTCCTCTAAAGTTTCCCCACGTCCTCATCCTCTCTTTCCTTTTAAGGCAACCTCACCCTCCCTCCCCGGTGCCCGCCGATTCCCTGCAAACTGGGAATGGGAGACAAGTTATTTCCAAATTGCTTCTGTCTCTTGTGTGCGACCCTCAATTGGCTACACTTCTCCTTCTCCACACCCACCCCCACCAAGCAGCCAAAAATTTCCCGCACAATAATGGGAGTTTGGCGGAACCATAGTGTTGAGAATGCAGTTCCGGCCTCTTGGTTTCTGTTCTCGGACTCCTAGACCCCAGCGTCCTCCACGCAGCTCCCACCTTTACACTCACCTGAAAGGACCCGGGTCACTTTACTCCTCCAGCAATAAGGAACGGCTACCGAGAAACAGGCCCCGACTATAAGGACTTCTGCACACGTCGACTCCTGGTCACGTGAGTGTTGCGCGTCATCAATGAGCTGGAGTCCTCAGTTACCCCTCCCATTTAACACTGCAGCCCGCCCCCTGCATTCCCTTCACTTGATGCTCTCAATCTTTTATCATATTGGCCAATCAGAGACAATAAAACTGGTACTTCTCCCTGCAGTTTCTACTCGTCTTCTTCGTATTATCAAGGAGGATCAACCGCTTAGGTTTAATGGACCATTTCTCTTTTTTCTTTGGGGAATCATCTCTTCCACTCTCCTGCTTCCAATTCGCCCACCACCCCGCCTACCCCAACACTCTACTATCCCTCATTTCCCCTGGAGTCCTATTTAGCATTAAAATGGATGAAGGTGTAGAAGGAGGGTGGGGGACGACTAGAAACGGATCGAGGAGTGAGGGTGTGGGATCTTTTTTTTAAATAATTCTCTTGAATAGGTGATTCACACCTATTCAATTTACACCTATTGTGTAAATTAATGTTTTACACAATCAGTATACTTCAAAAATATTTTAAAAAGACATGACACGTAAGCAATATTTTTTAAATAATTCTCTTGAATAGGTGATTCACACCTATTCAATTTACACCTATTGTTTAAATTAATGTTTTACACAATCAGTATACTTTAAAAATATTTTAAAAAGACATGCCACATAAGCAATATTTGACACATTGTGGAGGACAAAGTAGTTATATCAATTTTAAGACCTTGGAAAAGCTTTCTAATAGCTACGAATGGAATGACAGTTTACAATAATATATCGATGTGTTAGGGGAAAAAAAAAACTTTTTAACTCTTGTCAACGTAAGAAACATTCAAACCTGTAGAGAATTTTTGTCAGTTTATTTGAGCCAAACTTACAGTTGCCAGGAAGCAAAACCTCAATGAATCGGTATAATGCTCCAGAGAATGGTAGTTTTGCACCTTATTTTATCTGTTACAATCAAAAGGGGAGGCTAAGTGGATTACATGAAATACAGTCGTGATAGATTAGGGAGGTGGGGGGAAGCAAAGTGGGAGAACCTCTTGAGAGTGGATAAAAAGTAAAAAGACACATCTTTTGCATATGTGAGTACAGGATAGTAACAGTCAACAATTAACATGATAACAATAACACTGATGGTATTTGTGGTCTTCCCATGGTTCAGTGCCTGTGCTTTGAGGGGTTGGGAAAAAAGAAATTTGACATTCCAAGGGTATATTACTAGAGATGCCAAAAGACAAGAGGAGGCTCAATTAAGGTAAAGATTGACCTTTGGCAGGGAAAAATACTGGCCTAGGACACGACTACCTGCCATGACCTGCTTTTAGTTAAAAAGTTTTTAATTTCAGATCATCCTATGTGGTTACTTTGGTCTCTGAGTTTGTAAGGCTGCCTTGCAGGCCTCCTCTGAGTTTGTCAGGTTTAGTATGTGGCCCCTTTTCTCCCACACTTTCCCCTTTTGGTCATAAATCAAGCCAAAGAATGCATTGATGACCAACCCTTTACTTAGATAACAAGGTCCCACAGTGCTAGGAAGGCTGCATTCCTAGGAAGTCTCAGTGTCAGCTTTTGTCTTCCTGAACAAAGGACCACTGGGGATGGGGCAAGACTGTAACCTTGAATGGAAGCCTAAGTTGAATTTTTTTTTCAACATGAAAGGCAGGCAAATGGAAGGTAGTCAGGTCTTATGAGCCTTTATTAAGAAAAATGCTAAATGAAATAAACCAGTCAGAGAAAGACAAATACCATATGATTTCACTCATATTGGGAATCCAATGAACAAACCGAACAAGCAAAACAGAGACAGACTCATAGAGGGAGAGCAGGATGACAGCTAAGGGGCAGGTTAGGGGGTGGAGGGACTGAGCAAAAAGGAAAAAGGACTCACGGACATGGGCAACAGTGCGGTGATTGCAGGAGGCGGGGAGTATAAGGGGACTAAATGGTAATGGGAAAATACAATAAAAAAATAAAATAGAAGTGACAAAAACACTCAAAAAAGAAAAAGAAAAACACTCTGGATCATTTCTAACCTATGAGCTGTCATGATCCAGGTTTTGTTGCTTGTCTCACTTTTTTGTAGTTTGCATCTAGTATAACATTCATTTATAGTTTGAGGGCACACCATACACCTTTTCAATTTTTATAATCTGACTATGAGATGGGTTTCTTTTTACTATAGCTCATTTACTTCCCATTGGAAACACTTAGGTGCTGTTATTAATTTAATTTCCAATAGTTGGGCAATTGTTAGCTGTAACATTAAGGTTTTTTGTTTTACTTTTTTTAAATTTAATTTGTCTCCGCCTTTCCCCCACCACTTTCCCCTGCCCCCCTCCCCCCCTCAATCTTTCCCCACTTTGGTTTTGTCCATGAGTCCTTGCTATATGTTCCTTGACTTGCCCCTTCCCTTCCTTTCCCCCCCCCCGCCCACCCCTCTCTCCATCCCTCTCATTTCTGTTGGTTACTTTTTCTTTCAGTGTTGCTTGTCTTATTTTCCTTACATCTTTGTTTTGTTGGTTACGTTCCACTTATAGGTGAGATGATATGGTATTTGTCTTTCGCCCCCTGGCTTATTTCGCTTAGCATAATGCTCTCTAGTTCCATCCATGCTGTCGCAAAGTGTACTAGTTCTTTTTTTCTTTCTGCTGCGTAGTATTCCATTGTGTATATGTACCATCATTTTTTGATCCAGTCATCTACTGATGGGCATTTAGGTTGCTTCCAACACTTGGCTATTGTAAATTGTGCAGCTATGAACATTGGGGTGCATAGGTTCTTTTGAATGGGCATTTTGGGATTCTTCGGGTATAGTCTCAACAGGAGAATCACTGGATCAAAAGGCAGTTCTATTTTTAGCTTTTTGAGGACATTCCACACTGCTTTCCGCAATGGCTGCACCAAGGGACATAAAGGAAAGAATAAACAAGTGGGACCTCATCAAAATAAGAAGCTTCTGCATGTAACATTAAGTTTTAATTGGGGCCAAAGCTGTAAGAACACAATGCTTTAAATTACGGTTACCATCTAGAAAATTCCAGAGGCCAGGAGTACAGGAAGAGTTTCATAAGTAAATTTTCCTGTGCCTCAGCAGCAGTTATAGACGGCCATGTTTTTATAGTCATTTTAGCTTCTAACTGAATTAATATAGTTTAGTAGTATTTGTTGGGTTAAGGAGTAGGCACGTTCAGGACAGACTATCTCCTTTTAACTTCTAAAAATATACACATCTCTTTCCTTCCTTTTATAGTAGTATATCCTCTTAATTTCAAAAGAGAAACCATAAAAAAGGTATTATTGATAGTACAAAGGTTATACACCTTTAGCAATAAACAGTTGGGCTGTATGAATACACAAGGTTTGAGAAAAGTCTAAAGAACAAGTACAATTATTATTATTGATATTAGCAGACAAGTAAAGATAAACAAACAAACAAAATTTGACATTAATTTGTATGTATATAGGCCTTGTCCATGTTTTGGGATAGCTGTCTATCTCTGGAGTCAGTAGCTTCTCATCCTCAGGAAGTCTTTTTAAAAAAATATTTTATTTATATTTAGAAAGAGGGAAAGGAAGGGAGAAAAAGAGGGAGAGAAACATTGATCAGTTGCTTCTTGCATGCCCCCAGTGAGGAACCTGGCCAGCAACCCAGGCATGTGCCCTGACCAGGAATATGAACCTACAACCTTTCAGTTCATGGGACGACGTCCAACCCACTGAGCCACACTAGTCAGGACCTTTGGAAGCCTTTGATCTCCACTGTAGGTGGAGGCAAGTGTCAGAGACAGGGGTGAATGTCCATTTATGGTTAGGCTCCAGATAAGATCTCTTCCAACAATGTTGGAGAATCTTTAATATCTTTTCCAATGGACAAAAATCTCCTGTTGTAAGTCGTGGTCTTTGATGTCTTCGGCTCCCAAGACCATACTGTGAAATGTTACTAATTTATTAGTCCTTATAAGCTGGCTAATGAGCCCTTTATAATAAATAACGCAGAATGTCTCCTTTTAATAAAGTTGATTTATATGTCCCTTCATCTAGATTCATAGGGTGCTTATTATTTCATAAGGAGAAAGGTTATGTTTACCATAGATTTCAGGTTGAGGAGTACCACAGGAGAGCTTTTGGCCAAGCGAGATTAAAAGCTTCTGAAAATTTACCTAGTTGAGTTTTGATTGTATCATTTGTATGTTTTACCAATCCAGAAAAGTGGGGATGATAGGTAAAATGAAAATATTGTAGAATAGGTGAAATATTACAAATGGATTGCATTGTTTGTCTAGTAAAGGAGTCCCTCAGTCACCAACTCAGATGGAATTCTCCAGTTTGGGAATTAATGAAGTTTTAAAAATTATTTACCTACTATTAAAGCTGTTGCCCTACTACAAAAGAATGCGTCAACCCATACAAAATCATAGCTAATACATTTTTTTTTTGTATTCTTGAGATGTTGGCATTTGGATAAAATCCAATTTCCATACCTTGATCTAAAGGAAGTGAGAAATGTCCTTGGGCCCTGTGGCATGATTTTCTGGGGCTAGTTTTGGACAGATAAAATATTTGCTGTATAATTTATGAACTACAGTAGGAGGTTTCCAGTAATATTGTTTACTCCATAAAATCATCTTTTAGACTCTAATTTTAGCTCATGTACATGTTAAAGTATAGTATAGGTAATTAAGCTCCTATAGGTAAGATTGGTTTCTGATTGGGTACAAGCCATATCTGTTTGCCTGGAACAAAGATTCCCTCTTTTATTACCATATTCTCTTTTCCTCTGCAGCTCTCCATTGAAACTATAAAAGACAGGTGTTTAATTGATTTAATAGGAAGCAAGCAGCATTCTCAGATCTGGATAATTTGGCTCTTTAATGTCTGTCTAGCTGCCACAGCAGCTAAGTAATTTCATTTTGCTTCCATGATGGCAGGTTTAGAAAGCCCTATAATTGTGATAATTGCCAGTTGTTTCAATTTTTGTATGACATATAATAATTTGCAACCTACTTTCAGTTCTGCATGGAC